AAAAAAAAAAAAAAAAGCCCAGCCACACACTTTTAATTTCCTCATTTCTATGCCAGCGAGGAAAATATTTCTCCAGTTGCTGGAGGCAGCTACTAAAAATGGGCCTGACTGTGGATGTCTCAAAATAGGGACCCTGATTCCCAGGTTCAACCAGGGATGGGGGTTCTGGTCATGCTGGGGTACTCCCTGGGACAGCATCTGTCAAGGTGCACCCCAGTTTGTCCTCCCACTCCCTTTTTTGGTGCCTCACAAGACTCTGCTGTGGGCAACTTTATGTCCTGCTGAAACCTGGGGCTGAGGAGGGGCAGGAGGGACAGTTTGGTTACTTCCTCCCCACTAGCACAGATGGGGTGCCATCCATGCAAAAGTGCATCCAGAGGGGCAAGAAACACCCCCAGGATGGAGTTTCCACCACCTGCCTGGGAGAGAGGAGAATCTGGGAGGGTTACTTGTGGATCCAGGGGAAAGATGCTCCTCAATCCAAAGGGGATCTCTGTTGACAACCCACAACCTCCCTCCTCACTGTCATCCTGCCAGTGATGTTCAGAGCCTTTTTGGTTTTGTTTTACAGCAGCTGGGGGAATTTTGGAGCCATTGGACCCCTGCTGAAATTCCTACAGGTTTTTATTGATTTGAACATAAAACCATCCCTTTCAGGAGGTGGCAAGGGGGAAAAAAAGGACTTTTTCACCTGGCATTTGTGCTTGCATTAGTGAAGACCATGCAACAACTAGTTCACTGCTGCTTACAGAGAGCTATTCAATTGCTAGAGCATTTAGGGAAAAGAAAAAAAAACAAAAAACCAACAAAAAATAAAAATTAAAAAAAAAAAGAAAAAATAGAAAACTGCCTTGGTGATGAATCAACGGACCTTTATGGAGGGCTGGAAGTTCATGAATGAATCCCACTAGGTTTCTGAATGACATGGGGTGACCAGACCTCAAGGACGAATCTTAGGTAATCTGGGATGTTTGAGTGTTTTTTAAGGAGCTGATGCCAGCACACAGTATAAATATGCCAGAGCCTCTTCCGTTTGCGGGCTTCAGCTGTTGACTGCATGTCTAGTCAAAAATCCATGAGAATATAAGGGCTCAGCTCGGATAAACAGGCTCAGGCCTCCCTGCCAGCCACCACCAAAGCTGCTTTTTGCAGTTGTTGGGACCCCAGAGGAGCCCCCTGGCTCCCACCCACCTCCCTGGTTCTGGCATCCACCAGGAAAAGGGGAGGGAAAAGCCAGTGGCATCACTCCGACAGCAAAGGAGATGGCAGGAGAGAAGGAAAAAGTGACTCAAGAGATGCTTCCTACAGTGACAGACTTTTTTTTTTCGCCAAAAGGCTTTTTTTGGTGGCAATAATCATGGATCTGGGCAAATGAAGCAAACAGAAGTATTATGCCCAAAAACACCCTGCTGGGTTCACCCTGTGTAACCTGGGGTCGTGGCAGGCACCCACCACCCAACTCCCATCTCTGCCTGCTGCAAACTCACACAAAAACCCAGATCCCAGGAAAACCCATAGCTGCCACATCCTCCTCAACACATCCTCGTGTGAGACAGCCCATAGACGGCTGCAAACCCTTTGGGATCCCTGTTTTGAGTTAAAAGCATGGTTTTTACGAGCTCCTCGGTGCAAACACATCCCTTTCTAAACGCCTGGAAAACTCCCAGCAAACTGGGAACGTTCCCATGTCCCACCAAACAATGATAATGTTTAATGCTATAAACATCTGCGCTATTATTTCAGTATTAAAGATCCCTCCATTTGCTGCTATCACTGGGTTATTAGGATTTTCCATGGTTTCCATTACAGCCTGCCTTGAGGCTCCAGCAGGCTCCCCTCAGCGTGTTGTGCAAGCTCATAGTGAAAAAATAATAGTATAGGAACAACTGAAAATAAAGTGAGTTTGCCCTCAGGAATTTAGAGAATTAGTTGTATTGATCACTCATAGTCAGGTCCACAGAGAACAGCCATTCACATTAGCTCCTCACAGAGGGAAGAAATCAAGGCAATATCCCAAAGCCCCTGGAGTAACCTCTTCTGTAATTTTGGTGTAGATGGTTCATCACCAGTGACGCCCCAGCACAGCCAAATTACACCATATCCCATTCCCACTGGAAAACTCTTCACTTTTTTCCATGTTTTTTTACACCTTCCTGGATTTTTCTCAGGGGCTGCCCCAATTTTGCCAGTGCATCCATTGTCCATAAAAGCATCATCCCAGCTAAAGCTCAACTCACCAATCAGCACAGGAGGCTATGAGGGTCCCCTGCACTTGCCTTGACCTGCAAAACCATAAAGTCCCACCTGAACTTTCTCAATAACAGCCCACAGTCAGGATTTCTCCACACTGGGGGTGCACACGCTGTCTGTGGGCTCAGAGCATGGTCCTGCTCCTGCTGAAAATGCTTCATCCATACGGAAATCCAACAGGATGGGATACCGAATCAATAACTCCATAAAAATCTCACAGCTGCAGAAACAGCAGTGGGTATGGGACACTCACACCACATAAACACCCAAATTCTTCAAGTCCCACACTTGGTTCTTCCAAGCTATGGCAGAAGGACTCACACCTCCCCTCGCATGGAAGTGACAGGAAATTTCTGGTGTGGTTCTTCTCTGTGTCACATGGTGAGTTTTAATTTGATGAAAGCATGTCATCCATACTTTTTCCTTCCAAGCTCCAGCAGTTTTATTAGGAGTTTGGGAGGAAAAAGTTCTCTATTTTTAATTCACAGAGAACCAAAGCATTTTAGAAAAATTGAATTAAAAATAATAATAATAAATTAAAACAACACAGCTCCTGTACTGGGGTTGTTTTAGATCCCTGCTGTCCTTCTGATCTCAGCCTTGTCCCAGTGCCAGGTTCATGAATGTAAAGGGGAGCTAGGCTGGGGATCTTTGAGTTTTGTTCTGTTTTTTTTAGCTAAAGGTTTTCCTGTAGTCAACCAACCTTGAAAGAAAAGAGCAAGTTTAGCACACAGTGAGCTATCTGACCACCAGGATTGCTCCCAGCTGACCACATCAAGGGCTGTCAAAATTATCACCAGTATCTGTGACAACCCAAAGATGAAAATAGGAATAAAATGGCCTTACTGATAAGGATTTTAAATGGCTGTAATAGGATCTTTTGTCAATGACATCAAGTTTAGAGGCAAATTAAACTGTCCAAATGTAGAAGTATTCAGAACTCTGTATGTACACTTTTTGTAATATATATACATATACATTTATTTTTCCAAAAAGCATTTTTGGTCTGGAGCATGTTCTCATGCTCTTCCTAAAGTTTTCACCATCTCACCCCCTCCTCTCCCTCATTCTTGGGTCTGGATTTCCCATCAGCCCTGGCACAATGTTCACCATGGTAGCATTAACACTGATCTGCTAACAAAAGTCTCACTTTCAAAAAGGGTTTGGTTGGAAGGGACCTTAAAGACCCTTTTGTTCCACCCCCTGCCATGGGCAGGGACAACTTCCACCAGACCTGGATGCACCAAGACCCGTCCAGTCTGGCCTGGGACACTTCCAGGGATCCAGGGGCAGCCACAGCTGCTCTGGGCACCCTGTGCCAGGGCCTGCCCACCCTCCCAGCCAGCAATTCCCAATTCCCAATCTCCCATCTGTGCCTGCCCTCTGGCAGTGGGAGCCATTCCCTGTGTGCTGTCCCTGCCTGCCTTGTCCCCAGTCCCTGTGCAGCTCTCCTGGAGCCCCTTGAGGCCCTGGCAGGGGCTCTGAGCTCTCCCTGGAGCTTCTCTTGTGCAGGGGAACAGCCCCAGCTCTGCCAGGCTGGCTCCAGAGCAGAGGGGCTCCAGCCTGGCAGCAGCTCCGTGGCCTCCTCTGGGCTGG